AAAAATAGCTATGCGGTTTGAGAACTATTTTCTAAGAAGTTTGAGGGAGGGGAATTCAATGTTTGTACAGTGCTTTAAATTTGTCTGCATAACTCTGGAGGGGCTTATTTGTAGCAAATACCATTGGTTCCTGTTGCATATCCCCTTTACCAGACTGGTGCATCTCCCAGGTGCCCCAGGATTGGCTGCTTACAGCTCACAGCTGCAGTCTGCTCTAGAAGATTGCCCTTGTTTGAGAGGAGCTGCCTCACCTGGGGACACCTGGGAGGTTATGCCCTTCACCACTGGGGTGATGTGCCAATAACCTATGTGAGCCCAGCGCCCCCAGGATTCTGGGTGGGACGATCTAAATGGCATAATTCACATTCCAGAGCTCCCCATCGGATCAGATTCCAGCAGAAACCACATCCCTGTTCAGCTTGTCCCCCTGCCTTGTCCTGCCACCCTCACTTCACAATGGAAGTACTTCCTTAACAAATAATTGCACAAGAATCCCCAACTCATTGTTTGCAGAAATAGAATTTATCATAAAATTCATTTGAAATCTCAAGAGAAAAAAAATGAAATCTCAAGAGACCCAGAATAGCCAATGCATTAAAATCAAAATAAGAACAAAATTGGAGGCCTCATACTTCCTGATTTCAATCCTGACTACAAAACTACAGTGGTACTGGCCTAAGGAAAGACATATAGACCATGGAATAGAATAGAGAGCTCAGATATAAACCCTCAGATATACAGCCAAGTGATTTTTTTTAAGATTTTATTTATTTATTCATGAGAGACAGAGAGAGAGAGAGAGCGAGAGAGAGAGAGGAAGAGACACAGGCAGAGGGAGAAGCAGGCTCCACGCAGGGAGCCCAACATGGGACTCGATTCTGGGTCCCCAGGATCACACCCCGGGCCGAAGGCAGTGCCAAACCGCTGGGCCACCGGGGATGCCCCAGCCAAGTGATTTTTGACAAGTGTGCCAAGACCATTCAATGGGAGTTGAAGGACAGTCTTTTCAACAAATAATGCTGGGAAAACTGAATTTCCACATGCAAAATAATGAAGCTGGACCCTCGCCTTACACCATACACAAAAATCAACTCAAATGGATCAAAGACTTAATCCTACAAAAATCTCTTAGAAGAAAATATAACGAAAAAGACTCATGGCATTGGATTTGGCAGGACTATGTCACAATTAAAAACTTGTATGCAGGGAATCCCTGGGTGGCTTAGCAGTTTAGTGCCCACCTTCGGCCTAGGGCGTGATCCTGGAGACCCGGGATGGAGTCCCTGCGGGGAGCCTGCTTCTTCCTCTGCCTGTGTCTCTGCCTCTCTCTCTCTCAATCTGTGTCTCTCATGAATAAATAAATAAAATCTTAAAAAAATAATAAAATAAAAACTTGTATGCATCAAAGGACATAGTCAACAGGGTGAAAAGGCAACCTGTGGAATGGGAGAAAATATTTGCAAATTACATCTTGGATAAGGGATTGATATCCAGAATATATCAACAACAAAAACCCCAAACAATCTGATTTTAAAATGGATAAAAGACTTGAACAAACATTTATTTCAAAGAAGATATACAAATGGCCAATAAACACATTAAAAGATGCTCAGTTTTAGGGAAATTCACATCAAAACCACAATGAGATACTATTTCACACCCATTAGAATGGCCTTTACCCAAAAAATGAAACACAGTATTATTGGCAAGGATATAGAAACATTGGAACTGTTCCCTTCATTGATCATGGGAATGTAAACTGGTATAGATGCCCTGGGAAACAATATGCAGGCTCCTCACAAAATTAAACATAGAATTATCATATGATCCAGCAATTCCACTTCTGTGTATAGAACCAAAAGAATTGAAAGCAGGGACTCAAACAGATATTTGCACACCCATGTTCATAAGCAGCATTATTCACAACAGCCAAAAGGCAGAAATAACCCAGGTGTCCACTGATGTATTAATGGATTAAAATTGTGGTATATCCATACAATGGAATAGTATTTAGCCTCAAAAAGGAAGGACATTCTGACACATGCTGCAACATGAATGAGTCTTGAGGATGTTATTCAAAGTGAAATGAGCCAGTCACAAAAGCACAAATACTGTATGATTCTACTTATATGAGGTAACTAGAGTAGTCGAATTGAGAGACAGAAAGTAGAATTGTGGTTAGTGGGGGTTGGAGGGAGAGGGGAATGGGGAGTCAGTGTTTCACAGGTAGAATTTCGGGTTGGGAAGATAAAGAATTCTGGATTTGGATGATGGTGATGGTTGTGCAACCGTGTGAACATGCTTAAAGCCACAGAATTGACACTTAAAAATGGTTGAAATGGCAAATTTTATTTTATGTATATTTTACCACCATTGGAAAAAAAAAGAGAATCCCACTATACAGCTCTGCTTCTAAGGAATCCAATTTATTTATTTTTTTTAAGATTTTATTTATTTATTCATAGAGACGCAGAGAGAGAGAGAGAGAGAGAGAGGCAGAGACAGAAGCAGGCACCATGCAGAGAGCCCAACGTGGGACTCGATCCAGGGTCTCCAGGATCATGCCCTGGACTGCAGGTGGTGCTAAACTGCTGCGCCACCGGGGTTGCCCAGGAATCTAATTTATCACACAATTATCACACCCCATTTAGAGAGGAGGTAAACTGAGGCTCAGAGTGACTATAGATATATCTTAGCCAGTGGGGATGACAATAGTCACCACCACTCAGGTTTCTGTGAGGATTAGATCAAATAATGATGTATGTAAAGATTTCTGATCAAAGAAGAGCATTACCTATCAGGATGTGAAAGAAGGAAAGCAGAAAGGAGTCATGGTAGCTTTGACTGAATTATGGTCGAATATTGGCAATTTTACATGGTTCAACCTAATAGAAGTGTTTGGTCCTTAAGCTGGACGGCAGATTCTATATAATTGTAAATGCTTTAAATATCTCAAAATAAAATGTTTTTATGGAATAAAAATTAGAGTGGGTAGGGAGAAATAGAAGGTTTTGGAGCTATAGCATCCTGTCTTTGGCTGGGAATATAAGGTTTATGATCTAACAGGCATCAGGCTTTGTGTCTCTTTAGCTGTGTGGCTGTGGGTGAGTCACGTGACTTCTAGGGCCTCCGTTTTCTTTTCTAGAAAGGGGTGATCACCTCCCAACCTCAGCAGTCGTGCAGATCGAATGCTGAAAACAACAGGTAGCCCGGGGCACAGAACATAAGCTCGATGCTGCTGGACTGTGGTGGTGGTGCTAAGACAGGATGGAGAGTTAGCTCCAGGCTTTTCTGTCAGACCAGAATGGCCTGCAAACCCCGTGCTCTGTGCTCAGCCCTACAGTTCTAGTCCAAGGCGAGCTTGACCACTCAAGCTTTCTGGGCCCAGCCTTGTCAGCGAATGGGGGTTCAGGTATTTGCAAAATTACTGTGATTTCATCTGGTTTTTTTTTTCTTTTCTCCAACTTCACAAGCAGGACATGTTCCCCATGCTTCTGCAATTTGAAACTTTACCCTTTCTATGTCAGAGTACCAGTTATTGCTTGGTGAAACACATGGAATAATGCAAGTTAATAAATAAATTAATAATAATGATAGTATATTTTACTTGCCTATTTCTCCTGTTTTACCTTGTTAAAACATTGCCCAAATTTACCCTCTAGCTATTCATGTCTGTGACATCCCAGAGTTCTTTTTTCAAAGCCTTGATGGGAACAGGCATTACTCACTCAATATCACTCTTATGACAAGAGGGACACCTCTATCCTATCTCTGCTATGACCCCAAAACCCACCACAGGGCTGGCAGACAGGAGTTTTGTATTTGGGAATGGAGGAGTTGGAAGGACACAGGTAATTTTGCTGCTGAACCCCAGATGACGTGATTGCTGCTCAGAAAAATCAAGGCTTTTCCAGAGTAACAAGAGCATAATTTGAGGGAATGTATTGCAAAGTGGAGTCCATGGGTCTCAAACTCAAAGGCCTACAGGGCCAGACAAAGGGGGTAAGTGCCACGTAAGAGGAACACAGAACACATGAGGATAAGTGGCAAAGGACCCTCAGGGCTGGAAGTAATTGGGAGAGGAGGAAATTGCCATCAAGTTTGGTGTGTCCTGTCTACAGGGAGCACACTACCCAGATCTAGCCACACAGCTCCCTTATAGGAACGTGGGCCCCAGATGACCAAATACTCTACTCTTTTTTCAAAAGGTAATCCCTCAGGGAGCCTGGGTGGCTCAGCGGTTTAGTGCCACCTTCAGCCCAGGGCCTGATCCTGGAGACCCAGGATCGAGTCCCACGTCGGGCTCCCTGCATAGAACCTGCTTCTCCCTCTGCTTATGTCTCTGCCCCTCTCTCTTTCTCTGTGTCTCTCATGAATAAATAAATAAAATCTTTAAAAAAAAAAAAGTAATCCCTCCACCCAATGTAGGGCTCAAACCTACAGCTGAGATCAAGAGTCACATGCTCTCTCTACCAACTGAGCCAGCCAGGTGCCCCAGATACTCTATGTTTTGAAGAGACATGAGATACCTGGCTTTTTACACTAATTCTCCCAATTTAAAAGCTTGGTCATCCACTTTAAGTTAAAAAGTAGTCTGGGCAGCCTTTTGTGGGCATAATGTAACCCCTAGGTGACCAAGTTGTTACCTCTGTTAGATACAGAAAGACAAATCTAAATTCTGAAACACATGTGATTCCAAACAGTATTTACATCTAGAACACAGATAACCTCTTTCACATAGCTTAACCTGTAAGTAGGGTCCCCCTGGAGTTGTGCAGTGCCCAACCTGTACGAATGTATGTGGCAGCCCTGATAAGTAACTCTTGAAGCTGTCAGATCCCCATCAGTCCAACTCAATAGAAATGCCAACCCCCTCCCCCCACATCAATTCTCTGAACCACAAGAAAAAGCCTTTTACCTGTCTTGGGCACAAGGGCTGTGCAGCAAGGCCATCGAAGGGAAGTTCTAGCTCTCATGACCAGATTTGCTCTGTCCTCTAGGGTGGTGAAATTCCGTCGCACGGGCGAGAGTGCAAGGTCAGAGGATGACACGGCTTCGGGAGAGCATGAGGTCCAGATTGAAGGGGTCCGCGCGGGCCTAGAGGCTGTCGAGCTGGACGATGGGGCAGCTGTGCCCAAGGAGTTTGCCAATCCCACTGACGGTGAGAGAGAGGGCTCTGCAGTTGGGACATCAGCCTGGACCACAGTCAGGGGCTCTGACGTGCCAGTGTTACCTCCCCAGATCGTGCTCTCAGAGGCATCTAGTGAAGGGGCAGGTAGGAGGGCCTGGAGGGCCCAGAGGTGACACTAGAAGTGTGGGCTGGGCCTACATGGCTTCCTCCAGCAGATAAGGTTACATCATAATCCCTGCCAGTCAGCTTCATTGCATAACACCCAGCAGAGGACAGCAGCAACAATGATGGTGTTGGTGGTGATGGTGATGATGGTGGTGGTGATGGTGATGATGATGATTATGAAGATGAGGAGGAGAAGGAGGATAGTGATGATGACCATGGTGGTGGTGGTGGTGGTGATGATAGTGTAATGATGATGGTGGTGATGATGAAGGTGTTGGTGATGAGGGTGATGATGACCATAGTGACAGGAGCAGCTGACACTGCCTGAGGATTTACTCTGGGCCAGGCACTCTGCTAAGCACTTTACACATATTACCCATTTAATCTTCACACCAGTTCCAACTGGAACTATTATACTTATCTTCCCCATTTTGTAGAAGAGAAAACTGAAGCACAGAAAGACTAAGTATCTTGCCGAGGGTCACACAGCTAAAAATTAGCAAAGCTGGGTCTACAGCTGGGCAATGTGGCCTCAAAGCCCATATTCCAACCCATGACCTTGTGCTCCTCTGAGTAGAACTGGTCAAACAAGACACCTGAGGTGGTACCATGGGACCTCGTCTCCCCTCATATATGATGCTGATGGATGAAAGCATTCCATGCATTCCTGCAAGGCCCCAGATTCCCAACATGAGAGAGGGTTAATGTCTTAAACCCAAAGCCTAGTTGGGTTGGGAGATCTAAGGAGGCAATGACCAGGAGGGGGCAGGTAGTGGTTGGGAGCAGTGTCTACTCCCAACTGATCTGGGCTCAGCTCCCAGAGCTACAGTGTGGCAACTGTGTGACACTGGGCAAGTCCATGTCCTCCTCTGCAAAATGGAGCTGGGACTGGGTCTGAACTAATAGTTGAGCAGGACTAAGTGGGGTAGTGTACATCAATGTCTTTCTGCAGTGCCTGGCCCACAGTGAGCAATCAGACACACACACCATTACTCTACGTATTATTATTCTTATTATTGAGGACTCTGTAGGACTCACTCTGCTTTCTCCATATTTTTTGCTGGAGGAAACCAGCCCCTGCTGATGTGATAAACACCGGCTCACACTTCTGGAGAAAATCATGATTGATGTAAGAGATCCATGGTTGAAATTCTAAAAAGATGAAAACTCCCAGTGGGGAGCTGATGAGATCCTCAGAGGCAGCCCACAGAAGGGCCACCCAGCACGCTCCCTTTAGTATTTTTATTTTTTTAATTAAGTTTTTTGGAAACCATTTTAGGGTTACAGAAAAGCTGCAAACATAGTTCTGAGAGCTCCCACATACCCTTCATGCAGCTTCCCCCGACGCTAACATCTTACCTGGTCATGGTGCATTTGCTAAAACTAAGAAACCAACACTGTGTCGTCCTATTTACTAAACCCCAGTTTATTCAGACTTCACCAGTTTTTGCAGCAGTGCTGTTGCAGGACGTAGACCAGCCTAGTAGATTATGTTTAGTCATTATATTTTTTTGAAAATACTTACTAGCATATCAATTACCTCCTACTTTTTCTGAGCGCACAAATAACATATTTGTTTGGAAAAGTTAAAAAGTGAATGCTATCCTCAAAGATGATTCTGTTAACGATTTTTGAACCCTTGTCTTTCTTCCCCTGCATGGCGCACACGTACGTTTCTAATTCTATCACAAAGGCCCCTTTTAATGATGCATACCTCTCCCCAGTTAAATTTTTAACTTCACAGTATAATGTGGACAGCATCATCGGAGTGCAGCAGCACTTTGCTTTTAAAAAGTCTTTCTTGCTTTCTCAACTATGGAAGCGATGCATTGTTGAAGACAGCTAAAATCTCATAGGATTTCTCTCTTGCTCTCTCCAAAGACAACAGAAATGAAACCACAATTCAAGTTAGGTATGCATTCCATGCATTGACACATACATGCATCCATATGCATACACGTACACACAGGCATGTACATTTCCGAGAAGAAAAGCGTAGTAAATATGCTGCCCATTTTGCTTTGTTTTAAAAAATTAATTAGCAATATGTTGTGTGCATCTTTCTATATCTGCACATTCTTTTTAACAGGCAGGTCACATTTTATAATGTGGATATATAAAAATTTATATATAATTATGATATGTATAGTAATTTATCTAACCAACCCTTGTTGAGAGACATGCTGGGTTTTCCAGTTTTCCCTTTTACAAACAATGTTGCAGTGGACTTTGTAGCTGGAATGTTTTTCTAGGATAACACTGCTAGGAGTGGTGTGCTGCCTTTACTAAGTTTGACTGAAACGCCTTCCCCCACCCTGCACTCCCACATGAGGATAATTGCAGGATGCACTCATTCCTTCCTCCCGTCTCCCTTTCTCCTTTCCAGATACTTTCATGGTGGAAGATGCGGTGGAAGCCATTGGGTTTGGAAAATTTCAATGGAAGCTGTCTGTTCTCACAGGCTTGGCTTGGGCAAGTATTTCTGGGAGCGGTGACCTTACATTCAGTCTCCAGGAAACCTTCATGCTATTCAGCTGGGTTCCAGGGCAGGGGCTGTGAGGAAGGACATAATTCTATCCACATGGAACCTTTGCTTGAATCACCAAAAGTTTATGTTGAGTGATGCTGGTGATCATGAAGATCTGGCCTTGGCCGGAGTTTAGGTGTGGTTGGTCATTGCCCTCAAGGTAGATTTGAAGTTACTAGCTAATTAAGTGGTTCTCAACCCTTTGGGGGCTCAGGGCTGCCATAAGATTATGATGTCTTCTGTGGAGCTTACCCTAGATAAACATGCACAAACGAAAATGTGCCTTCTGCTTTAAGAGGTTCATGACCCCTTGTTATAAATCTAACCTACCTCCAGAGAAGAACACATCTAGACCTTTAATGCAACTGAAACTGATTTTTGGTGAATGTTGCAAGATGGTGAGCTAACCTATTTTTTCAAATGGATCTCCAAATTCCCCGCATCACTGTCCGCCCCCCCCCCCCCAATTTAAAAAGCCGTCTTTTATCTATCGCATTTCCATGGCCAAGGAGGTCTGCTTCTGGACTCTCGTTTCTGTCTACTCTCAAGAAGGTACCATGATGTGTAATTACCAGGGTTTTCTAGTGTGTGTTAATATATTAAAAGCTTGTACTTGTTAAATATACTGACAATTCTACATGAACAATGACCTATGCACCAAAGATAAACTAGTCTTTAATTGAGCTAAAGAGAAAAGATCATTGTCTCTCTACCTCTGTAAAAAGTTTTTCTCAGGTTTTAGAAATATAATGCTTCCCCACTTCATTTGAGGAGCACCCCTATTTTTTTAAACACAGAAACACACACACAGAATGTTAGATGCCTCTTCGTCAATTCCTGCATGGTACCTACCGTCTGAGCTACCGGACCTCCGGGTGTGTTTTGATGTGTGGTAGGGCGCACAGCAGCCAGTGGAGGAGGAGGGCTCCGCATGCTCAGGGGTCACGGACTGGGGCGCAGCCACCCCCAGCCCTGGGCGCATCCTGGCCTTATGATGTTCCCTTCCTCCCTGCAGATGGCCGATGCTATGGAGATGATGATTCTGAGCATCCTTGCTCCACAGCTGCACTGCGAGTGGAGACTCCCCAGCTGGCAAGTTGCATTGCTGACCTCGGTAGGCAGCCCCGCAGCTCTCTTCTATCGCATTCAGGACACCCGTAGGGCATTATGTGGGGGTGTCTCCCTCTCTTGCTGCTGCCCAGGGCTCAGCAGCAAAGAATTAAGCCCTGGTTAGAAACAACGTGACCCCAGCTTCCTTTACCCCGCCGTGTACCTCACATATCCCGGCAGGTTTGCAGCCAGCACTGCCGCACCCAGGGGGCCAATGACTTGGAGTCCCAGACATTCTACTCAATTACCGGGTAGTTGGAACCCACCTGGACGTAAACCTCATAAGCCTCACTTGACAGCAAAAAGGAGATACCAATTCCTCTTTCACGAGGGTGATCTGGGGATTGAAACAACACAGTGCCTGACACATAGTAGATGCTCAATAAATGGTAGGGAGCACAGCTCCCTGAATTAACACTTGAAGGAGAGTGAGGGAGAATCCGGAGTATTAGGGGAGTTCAGCAGCAACCCTCTAAAAGGGAGGGGAATGGCCAGGCTGGATAAGAGAGTAATAATGATGGTACAAAAGCTAATATTTGAGTTCTCACTGTGCAAAGGGCTTTACAGAGATTACATGCAATCTATGCTCAATATATATTGTGCTCTTTAATTCTCACAACCCTAGGAGGTAGATACTATTATTAGCTTAGGAAAATGAGGCACAGGAAGGTTAAATCACTCACAAAAGGTCACACAGCCTGGCTACCGGCAGGTACAGTAATTGCTAAGCAGGAGCACCTCCCAGAATGCTGTAACTGTTCTGGAATGGCTTGAGCACCTTCAGCAACCAGGCCTGGTCTGATATTAGAAGTAAACTTGTGCAGCCCCATGGGAGGAGGTGTAGAGACACATACAGGAGCCTTTAGTGGTTTAGTCACTTAGATGTGTGACCTTGAATGAGGCACTTTACAGCTCTTCTACATCTCTTCCAAAATGGGGGTGATAATGCCTGTTTCCCTGCAAAAGAGCAGCAAAATACACACAGTGCCTAGTGTATGGTAGGGGTTGAGTAACTGATACTTCTCTCTCGGATTTCTGATTCTCACTGATACCCCCTGAAGCATACCCAACAGGGCCATGTTTTTGCACTGAGGAGCCTTTCTCAGCTGTAACAATCACCATTTACTGAGCCCTTACTGTGTCCCAAACACTGTGCTGCGGGTTTGGCATACATTGTCTTTTTAACCTTCTTAACCTTGTGAAAGAGGTGCTCTTATCACTCCCATTCTCACAGATATGGAAACTAAGGCTCAGAGAGGTGTGATGACTTCCCAAGCTCACACAGCCTATAAGAGGCAGAGCTGAAATCCAGGTCTGTAAGACTCAGAGTCTCAACTCCCAGCTATAGCCCTGGACTACTTCCTTATGGTAGAAAATTTGGACTCATGGGCTTGGCGATGTTGTGAAGTTTCAAAGTTTCATGGCCAAGTTTCTGCGGAAAATTTAGAGCGCCGCAGGAGTTGCTTTACTTGCATAACATACATAAAGAGGATAATGGGGACTACATTATTGTCATAAGAAATATGGTGCAAGTTACCGTAATTAGTGTGGTATAGACCAGTGCTCTGCAGGGCCTAGATCTCTCCTTCGGGAGAGGAAATGTGGCAGAATTATGTTGTTTGTGGGGAATGCTTAATTCTTCCTTGGTGCAAGGATATCCCTTAGCACATAATTAAGGCAACGCTTCATCCCTACACAGCAATCTCCAAACATTTTTTTTTTAGATTTTATTTATTTATTCATGAGAGACACAGAGAGAATGGCAGAGACACAGGCAGAGGGAGAAGGAGACTCCCAGTGGGGAGCCGGATGTGGGACTCCATCCCAGGACCCCGGGATCATGACCTGAGCCAAAGGCTCAGGCTCAACCACTGAGCCACCCAGGAATCCCAATTTTCAAACATTTTTGCTGTAGGTTATCTAGAAAAGAATTTTCTAAAAATTATGCAGACCCCACGACCCTCAAAGGGTTTTAAGTTGACATTAAATATCTTTATTTTATTTTTTTTAACTTTTTTGACATTAAATTTTTTAAAGTTTTATTTATTTAAGTAAACTTTACACCCAATGTGGGGCTCAAACTCACGACCCTAAAATCAAGAGTTGCACGCTCCTCCGACTGAGCCAGCCAGGCACCCCAACATTAAATGTTTTTAAATTGTAGGTTGCAGATTCTATGACTTCTGGTGTAGAGATATTTAAAAAATTAAGTAAAATTTCATATCCACTTTTTGAAATATGTCCAATGGAATTGAAATACATGTCTGATACCAATGTCCTCTGTTTTAAAATAACATGAATAAGGTCATCAGAATTACTTGGAAATTTTGCATTATTTTGTGTTCTTCTTGGACTGTTATTTTCATTCCATGTCTTCATTTTTTTTTTTTTTTAAGATTTTATTTATTCGGGCAGCCTGGGTGGCTCAGCGGTTTAGCACCGCCTTCAGCCCAGGGCGTGATCCTGGAGACCCAGGATGGAGTCCCACATCGAGCTCCCTGCATGGAACCTGCTTCTCCCTCTGTCTGTGTCTCTGCCTCTCTCTGTGTCTCTCATGAATAAATAAATAATACCTTTAAAAAAAAGATTATCTTTTAAAAAAAGATTTTATTTATTCATTCATGAGAGACACAGAGAGAGGCAGAGACACAGGCAGAGGAAAAGCAGGTTCCCTGTGGGGAACCCAATGTGGGACTCAATTCCAGGACCCTGGGATCAGGCCCTGAGCCAAAGGCAGACAGTCAACCACTGAGCTACCCAGGTGTCCCCATTTCTCCATGTTTTATCCTAGCAATGTTTTACTCTGCTCGAAAGCATGTCATTTGTCACCTGTCAGAATTTCCCAGGCCAAAATATATAAATTCTAAATTATTGTTTTTAATTTTCTGAGCTCATAAAGCTCTTAAGTGTTGACATTTTTCTCCTGCACTGAGTTATCATGATAGTTTTTAGTTATATGCAATAGACCAAAACAAGAAAAAATGAATTTTGATAAATAGCTGTTGAACACAAGTGAATTTTTATCAGGAACATACCTCTTAATGAGTGGTATGGAGTGTCTCTCAATTACATCATGTATTCTTAGATGATTACTTTCTACTAAAGTAAGATGGGGTTTAGCAGCAATTCCCTTCCTATTTTTCATTTTTAGCTTATTTACATATCAAAATTGAGGGGGGACTGAAGGAGTTTTGTAACAACTCAATAAACTAATGCCACTTGTTTTTTTTTTCAGCGACTTCCAAGTTATATGGTAAAGAGCATACAGCAACTGCTTATGAAAGATTATTTTCAGTGATCTGATTTACTGATGGCTTCATTAGGTTCTCTTTCAATTTGGTTTAAAATAATAAAAAGGAATTGGAAACTAGATGAGTCGCAAAAGGATTTGTATCTTGTCATTGGTGTCCTTTTTGAGGTGTTCTGAAAGGTTTAGCCTCGAAGCATTGCCCTGTGAGATGCACTGCGGAGATGGGAGGGTGGGGTAATGAGAAGTGGGAGGGGGTGGTTGAAAAAGGTGGGGCAGGAAACAGACAAGAGCCATAGCTTGTTCTCAGGAAAGAGTCTGTATGGAAGTTGAGGACCTGGAAATTAATTCTTTTAAAACTAGCCATGTCTGCTTGGAGCACCTGGCTCTGTGTAGCCTCCATTTGCAGCCCACTGCCCAAGGACATGCCTGTGGTTTTGGGGCAGTGCCTTCACCTCTTTGAGCCTCAGTTGCCTTATTTGCAAAATGGGGATGATAATGGCACCCACCTCGAAGGGCCACCATGAACTTTGGGTAAGATGTGAGTACAAAGCATTTAGTGTGCTGTCCTATACTCGGAGAGGACAAGGATAGGCACAGGTATGAAGGCTCCAGTCAGCCTTCCTGGGTTTAAGATCTGGCTCTACCCTCTGTTCCTGGGATATGGAGTAGGTTTCTTAGCTCTCTGAGCCTCAGGCTTCCCAACTATAAAATGGGTATAATAATTTAAACTGCATCAGCTCTGTTCAAAAATTAACAATGTAACAGTGACTTTGTGGGGCACACCAAGAGCTCTCCATGAGTGCTTCGGCTTACAAATAGCTTACAGTTCTTTTTTTTTTTTTAAGGTTTTATTTATTCATGAGAGACAGAGAGAGAGAGAGAGAGAGAGAGAGGCAGAGACACAGGCAGAGGGAGAAGCAGGCTCCATGCAGGGAGACTGATGCCGGACTCAATCAGGCCCTGGGCCAATAGCAGGCGCTAAACCGCTGAGCCAGGGATCCCAACCTTCTGTCTTCTGTTTTTCTCACTCTCCAAGCTCTACCTTTGAAATTTTCTTAGCAACAGGGTGAGACATTTCTTTGGTAGGTGAGAAATTGTTCAGATGCTAGTTCTGCACCTATACTGCCCAATCCCAGCTCAGGTAGTGCTGCTTACACCTGTGTGACCCTGGCCAAGGGATGTCCCCTCTCTGAGTCTCAGTTTCCTCATCTGTAAAACAGGGATAATGATATTACCCACCCCACAAGATTGTTGTGGGGCTTAAATAGTAACACGAAGAGCCCAAACAGTGTTTGTACCTTAACAGGATCTCAGCCAGTGTTGGCTCATCACTCAGACCAGGACGTGATATCACAGGTTCAAGTCATTGTTCCTCTTCTCTGCGATGCTCCGTGTCACTAACAGACCCTGTCTTTCCATCCACAGGTAGTCTTTGTTGGCATGATGTCCAGCTCTACGCTCTGGGGAAACATCTCAGACCAGTATGGCAGGAAAACAGTAAGGCAACCTCTCCTAAGTGCATGTCCTCTGGGTTATCTCCATGGTGGTGTTGACAAGCAGCAAAACAGTGCTACTTAGCATTTGGGAGGCCCGATGAGCTCTGTCAAAATGCAATGAGAAGACATTGGCTCTGAGGCCATGGACTCTCGAAAACACACATGCCTAGTGAGGCCCAAGCATGTACATTTCAGAATGCAGAAGATGCCACTGGTGCCCACCCGGGTCCCCTTGGCACCCACTATTTCCTTACACAAGGCTGGGGGAAGTCAAGGGCTGGTAGATGAAGTTGTCAACTTTCTTGCCCTAAATGAATCATCTCCTAATCCCAGCAGCACTGAGCTCCGGGATCCGTGGGAACTTGCTCATGAAGGTACCTTGAATTGTCTGCTTTCCCCACTCCTCCTGGGATCACCACCTAAATAAACTGTTTGTACTAGAATTCTTGTGTCAGGGTCTGCTTTGGGGGAAGCCCAGCCTCAGATATGACATGAAATGGATTTGCAAACAAGGAAGAAGGGAACTTACAGGTCTGGCATTGCATTGAGCTCGTACTGTTTGATTCACTTGTTACTGCATGGTCCCCTTTGTATTTTACACTGCTCTGGTTTTGCTAGGCTGCACTTGGGTGCTTTGATTCCTTCGGCATGTGAAGTTACAGTTCTCCAAACTATAAACTTGGGCCTGATGGGAGAAAAGAGCTTTGTAGATCTAGAAGCTTTCCTTGGTTAAGGGCCCTGCTCAGGAATAGCTGCCACTCCGGTAGTGCATTCTGAGTGATTGCACCTGCTGACTGCTTTATTGTTCTTTTTTCTGGACTCTTCTCTTCAGTCTGCAGCTTCTTGGGAGGCAGGGTGGTATAGTGGTTACATGCTTGGGCTCTGGAATCAGGTGGATCTGGGTTCAGTTGCGACCCTGCCACTCCTGGCTGTGTGACCTTGGGCAAGTGAATTGACCTCTCTGAGGATCAATTTCTTCATATGTCTAAAGAAAAAAAATAACAGATTCTACATTTGAGGGTTGAGATCTTAGGCGTGAATGGCTTTATACCATGCCAGGCACATCATAGGCACAGGACATACGTGAGCTGGCATTGCAATGAAAGCATTTCTGACAAGTTCCCAGGTGATGCCGATGCTGCTGGTCCGGAGCCCATACTTTGAGAACTATTGACTTAGACTAATGTAGATAGCTAAAAAAAACTTAGAATTCTGTTAGGAAAGAATGGAGACATGGATGCTGAAGAGGTAACAGTTGGGGTCCACTATAACCAGCACACCAGGGACTGGAAATAACACAGTACCTTGTATGGCAGGCCCTGTACCAGGCCTGATACATGCATTCGCTCGCCCAAACCCTGGTACTATTCTCAATCTGATTTTACAGAAGGGAAAAGTGAGGCACAGAGCATGGGCAACTTGCCCAAGCTACACAGCTTATATATCACAGAGCCAGATCTCACTCTTTTAAGGTCTAGACTCTTGCTTTAACACGTGGCTAGTGGCTTGAATCCATAGATGCTCAATCAATGTATGTTGACTCGATGGATGGATGGATGGATGGATGGATGGATGGATGGATGGTTGAACAGTGCAGTCCAGCTGCAGGCCCTCCCACTGTGACTGGACAGGAAATACATAGGCCAGTAGGCACCTGGGAACCATTGACTTACGAAACCACTAAGGAGTGGCTGGGGCAGGACCAGAAGTGACCAAGCTGGGAAACCAACTCTAGCCATTGTAGCACAGGGATTTTGGATGGTTTTAGAAGCTGGGGAGGTCAGTTGGGAAGATCTCTCCAGGTCTTCCAAAGAGAATAAAACCTGGATTACTCTGATTTTCAGGCCGTAGCTCTCTAAACTCTGCCCATACACACCCTCCCACGCACTTCCTTTTTCTGGAGGGTGTAAGTCATTGCTTCAGCAATTTTCTGATTGGAAAAGAGCAGAACCAGAGCTGGGAAGAGGGAGAGAGGGAGAAAGGATGGAAGTAAGGGAAGGAGGAAGGATGGATGGATGGATGGAAGGGAGGGAGGAGAAGCACCTCTTATAATAAAGCAGAGCCGTTCTTGGGTGGCGCCGCCGCGGTGAAGGGAACTGCAAATGTGTGGCTGAGGCTGGACCTAACATTAGCCTTCGCAGTTTTAAAATAATCAAAGGAGAAAGCTCTTCTAAATTCTTCACGTGGCTTCTTCCTGTGCACACTGGGCATGGGGTGGATGACTTGTCCCTCTGTTTCCTGCTAAAACACTTTTTATTTACTTGTTCTTGAGGCAAGCATGCATATACACACACAAATGCAGGAACCCATGGAAAGGAACTTTACTGAGGTACAGTAAAGGGGCCTCAGTTTCCTTATTTATGTCAGAGGAGATTGGATCAGATAATAGCTGATAGTAACAGCTACCATTTATTGAGTTCCTGAAACTGAAGGGCAAATGGGTTTGTCCTCCCTTGTGCCTGTTCTAATCATTCAGTAGAGGACTCCAGACACATGGATTTGAGGAGTGGAAGGCTCAGTGGGACAGCTCTGTGATCAATTAGTGATGTCTGCCAGGGGCAGGAGGGCAGCCTGGTGAGTGCAGTAAAGCTCATGAGGAAGGTGGCTATGCCTGTTTTGCGTCCTGAGGTGGCCCCAGCACCTGGCACAGCACCTGCCTTTTATAGCAGACCCTCCATAAATTCTTCTCGAGTGGCTGAGTTGGATGGATGAAAATCAGATCCCCTTGTTGCCACTTTCTGCCACTCTCTCATCCTCTCCAGACCAGCAAGTGATTTCCTGGATGACTGTTCTCTGTTTTACAGAGAAGTCCAAAAAGATCGTTAGCTTATGATCCTGACATCCCTCGGCAGAGTATGTTCATTCTGCCACTAACGTGGGTCATGCCTATGGCGTTCCCAGGAAGTAGCCCTATAGAATACCTATAGATACCTTCATTTTATGGTGGGAAGGAGAAAACTATAGCTCAGGTTTTTAAAAGACTCGTAGATGGGTTTTCAGTAATGCCATTTACTGAATCTTGTGAGTTCTGAACACATTTTGGCAACTTCTAGAATAGCAGTTCTCAACGGGGGAGGGAGTGGGCAGGTTTTATCTCCCCCTTCCTCCCGGGGTACATTCAGCAATGTCTGGGGACGTTTTTTGGTTGTCACCACTGAGGGGAGGGGTGCTACTGGCATCTAGTGAGTCAGATTCTGTTTGCTATCCCAAAGTCCATGGGACAGTCCACACCACAAAGAACTACCAAGTCCTAAGTGTGAAGGGTGCGAGGGTTGAGAAATGAGGCACTAGAGTGAATGCACAGATGATGCCAAGTTGCACTATTGTGAAGAGTTCATTCTGTATCATCTTATTGTATCAGCTGGGACTATTCCACCCTAATTTCATATTTACCTCCAGTGCTCATTTGGACAAATGAGATGCTAATGTGACATTTTTGTGAAAGCATGAGCTCTGAGGTCAGACTGCCAAGGTGCAAATCCCAGCTCCTCCACAGACAGGCTGCATGACCCTCAACAAGTTACTCAACCTCCCTGTGCCTCAAGTTTCCTCATTTGTTAGTGGGATCATAATAGTCTTTCTTCCATAGGGGTGTCCTAGGAGTAAACGGGCCTGTGCACAGAAAGCTCTTGGCACAGAGGAAGCAATTCATAAATGTCCAGTATTGTTCCTATCATTTGGCAAGCTCATGACAATAAACAGCAATGCCAATGTTCAAATGCAGGTATGTCTGGCTCCAGAGTCCACAACGTTGGCTGCTGGGAGACATAACTGAATTATTCCCCCAGAATTCAGTTGAGCAGTTGGACATTCAACCATTCCAAACAAAGCCTGAGAGGGTGCCTATAGAGTGGTCCTCTAGCTCTCCTGACCAGAGAGGAGAGAAATCACCCCCAGACTGCAGGGCCCCCTCCTTCCTGCAGGGAATTCTGGCCCCACTGCAGGGAGGATGGATCAGGTTCTAATTATAAAGCTTCTGTAGAACTCCTCCAGAAACAGAGGGTGAGCCGGGCAGCTGGCAAAGCTTTAGCTAGTGCCAAAAATCTCCTCCTAGCTCCTTGATCTGCCTCCGCCCAGCTGGGAGGCTTCTGGGAGGGTGTCTGCTGCATGACTTTGCAAGGGACTCACGTAAGGGGTTAGGACTCAGTGGGCCACTTTGATTCCTATAGAAGTTCCTACACCCTGGGGGCTTATGGCAAAGCCACACAAAGGAAGGGCAGCTGTGGGTGTGTGGCCTTGCCGGGGTGAAGGTGCTCCACCCTCTCTATTGAGTGAGGGAACTTAAGCAAATTTTTTCACCCCTCTGAGTCTCAGTTTCCCCATTTGTAAAACTAGGTTGTCAAGAGCAGGAGTTCAGAGGGCTGCTGGAAGGGTTATATGAGAAATGTAGTTAATGCACTTAGAACAGTATTTTACTGATGCATGGTTAGCTGGTGACCAATGGAAACTACTATTGGCTGCGTCGCAAAAAAAAAAAAATCAGAATATGATCAGGTCACTAGCTAGTTCATGTTATCTGTAAGGACGAAAAAGAGGTAGCTGGCAGGCAACAAGCCTCTCATCTCAATATTTTTTAAAAATATTTATTTATTGATTTATTCATGAGAGACAGAGAGAAAGGCAGAGACACAGGCAGAGGGAGAAGCAGGCTCCATTCAGGGAGCCTGACGTGGGATTTGATCCCGGGTCTCCAGGATCAAGCCCTGGGCCAAAGGCAGGTAGGTGTTAAACCACTGAGCCACCCAGGGATCCCCTCATCTCAATATTTTGAAGATCCCCAGCCTCCTTGTCCCCTGACAATTTTCCTTGTCCTGCACATGACCGGAGGACACCAAGGGCACTGAGTCAACAGCCTTCCAGGACTGAGTAATGCTCATGATGATGACATCAGCATGCTCCTTTTGGAGGCTGCAGACTTGGCACCCAAGTGGTAGCAAGACCCTCAGCTTCTTAGAGCAGAAGCTTGAAGCCTTTCCAGGCTACAGGTTGTATACCAGGGAGCTATGAACTGAACATGTCCTATAGATGTGTTTTATTTAACCCATACAATGCTGTATAGGATTTTGAATCAGTTGCCTCTGCTTCAAAAAATAATGTATTTTGCATAAAAATGAAGAGCTCTGTTTTTTGTTTTGTTTTGTTTTGTTTTGTTTTGTTTTGTTTTAATTGGGCTATCTGGCAGCCCAGGATCCACATTCTGTGATGGCAACTTTTGGCTAGAGCTCAGTAGAGGCTGACAAGACAGGCCAAGCTCTCTTGCATTCACCTGGACCCACCTATCCTTGCTGCATGACACCCTCATGCATGCTCTCTGTCAGAGGCAATGGGAGCCATCAAAGGCCCAGGAGGAGGGGAGTGCTCATTCAAGTATGGCATTCGGAGTTGAAAGTCCTGACTCCAGGTTTGACTGCTGATCCTGGACAAATCACTCAACTACTTTGACCCTCACTGTGCTGATTTGTAAAGTGGGAGTGGAAATAACAGCCTCTTTCCACAGGCTGCTGTGAGGACCCAGTGTAAAGATGTGACAGTGATTTACAAAATGGGAATGAGGGATCCCTGGGTGGCGCAGCGGTTTGGCGCCTGCCTTTGGCCCAGGGCAAGATCCTGGAGACCCTGGATCGAATCCCACATCGGGCTCCTGGTGCATGGAGCCTGCTTCTCCCTCTGTCTGTGTCTCTGCCTCTCTCTCTCTGTGACTGTCATAAGTAAATAAAAATTTTTAAAAAAATTTAAAAAAAATGGGAATGAAAGTTCCATAAAGTTAGAGACTCTGGCTGTCACATTCCCTGCTGTACCTCAGGAGGCACTCAGTGCATGCATGGTGAAGGGATAAATGAATGAATCGTGGTATCTTGACTGCCAGGCATGCGACAGATGCTTAATATATGCATATTGAACAAATGATTGAATGGATGATGCATATCAGTACCTTTAGTGCTGGGCACACAGCAGGTGTCTAATACACGTATATTGAATGAATGAATGAATGAATGAATGAACAAATAATATATAGCATTTTTTCTAGCATCTGGCATAGAGCAGGCACTTGATATATGCTTATTGTTAAGTGAATAATTGAATGAACAATCTAATGAATACATAATGTCTATACTTCTCTCTCTAGAACCTGGCATACAGGGGATGCTCAGTAAATGAATACTGAAGGAAGAAAAGGAGAGGGGGAGAGAGGGGAGTGGGGAGACGGGGCCAACAATCTAAAAGGCAGAACAAATGTTAGGCCAGAATGACAAGTGTAGTTAATGAGAAGCTCAAAAGCCCAGGAGACATTTCTGCAGAGTCCCGAGCAGTGCTTGGATGAGGCAGCTGGCAGTGCCCGTGCCTTTGCAGTACCCATGACAATACTGACAAATGGTTGCTGAGTCCTCATTTCCTGGCCAGCTAGAAAGCCCTGACATCAGTGGGCAAATGCAGAGCTAGCTGCAGTCTGCTGTGACCCTGCAGGACAGGTCACATGCAGGTCTTTGCTGCCTGGCATGGGGTCATGTGGTGACCCCAGTAGGGTAGTGAAGCTCCCAGGCGGTCGCTGGAGAGAGGCTTAGCTCTCAGGTGCCAGTCGGGGTGCCCTCTTTTCTACCCGCTCCTCTTCTCCTCCTCTGTTTTCCCTCTTTTCATTTTCTTTGCTGCTAATGATGTCCTATCTCTGATTCAAGACTCCTTGGGTTCCAAGAAAGCAAATCCCTCTTAAGATAGCTTAAGCCACAAGAAAGGAAGTAAGTAAATATGTGGCAAATACTAATTTCGTAGTCGTGTGTTTCGGAGTGCAGAAATGTTGCTTTATTATTGTTGCAATAGATCCATAGCTCCCTAGGCTTTGATAATTCCTATCCCATCTGTTTTGCTATATACTTAATATCTTTCTTTATATCAATTTTACTTTTTAAAAAAGATTTTATTTATTTATTCATGAGAGACATTGAGAGAGGCAGAGACACAGGTAGAGGAAGAAGCAGACTCCCTGCAGGGAGCCTGATGCGGGACTTGATCCCAGGACCCTGGGATCATGCCCTGAGCCAAAGGCAGACACTCAACCACTGAGCCACACAGGTGCCCACAACTTCGTTTTTTAAAAACAAACAAACAAACTGGGACACCTGGCTAACTCGGTTGGCTAGGTGTCCAACTCTTGATTTCAGCTCAGATCATGATCTCAGGGTCCATGTTCATCAGAGTCGAGATTTTCCCTCTCCTTCTGCTACTCCCCCCACTTGCTCTCTCTCTCTCTCTCTCTCAAATAAATAAATTAAAATCTTTTTTAAAAACCCTTAAATGCATGTTTTTGGAAAGGGAAACTTTATAGAAAGTCCTAAATAGGAAATCAGTAGCAATTGTCCTAAATAGGAAATATCTGCAAAAATAAATACAATGAAAATAAAACAATGTTACTAAATTCTAGTTGGTTACAGTTGCCTCCTGTCCAATCTGTTAAAAAGAGAGATTAACGATTAACGGGTGTTTAAAAAGGGGTTAAAGACCAAAAAAAAAAAAAGGTGTTAAAGACAGACTAGCACCACATAGATCTTTTCTCTTGGACATAATCAGAATAATGATTGGAATGAAAAATCACTTTCTTGCAAGCTAATGAAAGTTATTTGAAGTATTCTCTCTCCCACTTAAAATCATTTTCCAAGAAACTGGAAATCATCTGTCAGACCTCCAAATTTCCTCTCTAGTCCCTTTTAATTCATTTTAATTTCTTGTAAGTTTATTTGTTTAAGTAATCTCTACATCCAAGATCAAGACTCCCATGTTCTTCTGATTGAGCCAGCCAAGGCACCCTCGTTCATTTTAACTGGAAAGCTAAAGTCAGTGTGCTTCAGACTTCCCACCTGAAGTGTCCCCAGGGAGACAAGAGGGTGCACTCAAGGCTGGATCTGGGGGAAGTACTACAGAGAGATACCTGCCCAGACACCATGTTGCAGGTCTAAAATCCACATAGAATTTGTGTTCTATTCCATAATATGTTTGGTGTTGGTTATCGTGAACCCAGGGTCCTGGGCTTGAGCCCTACATCCGGCTCCCTGCTTCTCCCTCTCCCTCTGCCTGCCGTTCCCTCTGCTGCTGCCTGTGCTCTTTCTCTGTCAAATACATAAAATCTTAAAAAAAAAAAATAACACCTTAAATTGCATTCACCCTTGATTTTTTTCTCAGTCTCTAAGAGTAATTAACACTCCAGGAATACGCAGCATGTTTGTTTTGCAGCATTGTATCTCTAGGTGGTTCTCAACCCCGTGAAATACAATGTTCCCTTTACTTAGAAACTGTTATGAAAACTTTTAATAATGCCCTTAATTATCCAGAAATAATTTCAAAAATAAAATAGCCACCCACATAATCTTTAAAAGAAACCAGTTATAAAAAAAATAAAATAATAAAATAAATCAGGTATAATGCCCCAAGTATGATATAATGGAGGACTTTTTAAAGGAGGCAGTTAGTTAAATGTATTTTCAATATGCAAATGTGCATGCACAAGTGTCCAGATAAAAGGAAGAAGTTAATATTTGTCTCTGATTATAAATAAGCTTGTATTTAACTTAATTTTGTTGATGCTTTTTTTCTTTATATTTGACATTTTGAAATAGATTTAGATCAGTCTATTCATAGATACACATAGAAACCCTATGAATGCAGACAGATACTGGAGTGTTCCCTCAATGACTCAAATACCATATGCAGTGTTGCCATTGACAACATGGCTTTCTGAAATGAAGAACAATTTTGTAAAGTTCCAGAAAAACCACACGCAAACTTCCTTTGATTTACCTAGAAGTTGGGTTCCTGCAAAAGTAAGTGTATATTCAAATCCTATTTCTATATAAAATAGAGTGAAGGTCAAGGTACAGATAGTCATGGAGTTTTCACCTGGATGATAGGCAAGTAGAAAGTTCAATTTGAGATGGTGCAGGATACAAGACAAGTCTTTATTGAGTCTCATGCACTGCATCTAACATCTCAGGCCCCTATATATTAAATGCCAATCATTGGGGCAACCAAGAATGCTGCAGAATTTTCCCACAACCCTTCCCCCTGGGGGTTGGCACATCCCACAGAGAATCTGTGTGGATTGCTGTTTAGCCTGACCCCATTGATGGCTTTCAACAGGTTTGGGGGCCACATGGCCTGGAGGTACTGAGAAGCCCTGTGACTTGGTGTCTTCCTTCTCCACAGGGGCTGAAGATCAGTGTGCTCTGGACTCTGTACTATGGCATCCTCAGTGCTTTCGCGCCCGTGTACAGCTGGATCCTGGTGCTCCGGGGCCTGGTGGGCTTCGGGATCGGAGGGGTCCCCCAGTCGTAAGTAAATGCCCAGCTCTGGCCATCCAGCAAGACAGCCAGTCAACTATGTTCATAGACTGGGGGGGAGGGGACGCAGAGACGGTACACTAGGGCTTCTGGCATCAAGGAGGTATGATGTAGCCAGAGAATAGTACCATTATCAGTATTGTAATGATTGGCAAAACAAAAGCAACATAATAGGGGCACCTGGATGGCTCAGTCAGTGAAGTGTGTAACTCTTGATCTTGGGATTGTAAATTCGAGCCCCATATTGGGCATAGAGATGACTTAAAAATAAAATCTTAAGGGGCACCTGGGTGATCCAGTCAATTAGGCATCTGACTCTTGGTTTTAGCTAGGGTCATGATTTCAGGGTCCTGGGATCGAGCCCCACATCAGGGTCTGCACTCAGTATAGAGTCTACTTGTGATTCTCCTTCTGCTCCTCCTGCTCCTGCTTTCTCTCTTTTCTGTCTCTCAAATCAATCAATCAATCTTTATTTTTTTTAAAGATTTTATTTATTTATTCATGAGAGACACAGAAAGAGAGAGGCAGAGACACAGGCAGAGGGAGAAGCAGGCTCCATGCAGGAAGCCTGACATGGGACTTGATCCTGGGTCTCCAGATCATGCCCTGAAGGTGGCACTAAACCGCTGAGCCACCCGGGCTGCCCTCAATCAATCTTTAAAAAATAAAATAAAATCTTAGAAAAACACAACACAATAGCTGGAAAGTCATAAATGTGAAATAATAATAAAAATATAGATCATCTAAAAAAAGGGGGGATCCCTGGGTGGCTCAGTGGTTTAGCACCTGCCTTAGGCCCAGGGTGTGATCCTGGGGTCCCCGGATCAAGTCCCACATCAGGCTTCCTGCGTGGAGCCGGCTTCTCCCTCTGCCTATGTCTCTGCCTCTCTCTGTGTGTCTCTCATGAATAAATAAATAAAATCTAAAAATAAATAAATAAATAAAAAATAATAAAATAAAAAATAAAACTATAGATCTAGCATTGATTGGACATATTTCTAGGCACATCGCAGCAGCCCCAGGAGGTATGTGTTATCAAATGATTGCAATCTCCCTTTTATAGTTGAAACCAAGACTCAATGGGTGAAATCATTTGCCCAAGACATATGGTGTGGAGTGGAACTAAGAACCCAAGTCTGTCTGCCTACAGCATCCATGCTCTTAACCTTCACAAGGCACATGAGGGCCCTCTTCCTCTTCTAACCTAAGCATGAGGTGTGGTGGGCCTAATTAGATGCAAACTGAGTATTTGTTGGTGCCGTTGTAAGGTACTGAGAATAGTCACAGTTGTTAGAAGAAGCCACTCTGTTCTGGGAGATGGGCAGACAATGGCATGTGGGGTGTATCTGACCTGCAGACTGGTTTTATAAATAAAGTTTTATTGGAACACAGCCACATCCATCATTTACATATTAACTATACCCATTTTCATATACAGCAACAGAGCTGAGTAGTCTCAGCAGAGACATTATTTCCTATCTGGCCCCCCATAGAAAAGGGGCCATCCTATAGGATGATAATGGCCAATATTTAGTGTTTACTAGGAGGCATGTGCTTTTCTAAACAGTTTACCAGATTGTCTCATGTAATCCCTGCAAAATCCTAGGTAAATTCAATTATTCATCCCATTTCACAGATATAGAAACTGATGCACAAAGAAGTGAAGTGACTTACCCTAGGTGACACAGTCAGAAAGAGGCATAGTGAGAATCTCAGGCCCTCTAAGTCCAGAGTCTAGGCACTAACCATTGCATTGTACTGTCTCTCTATTAAAGATGCAAAGGATTTGGAAAGACCTAGAGGCAGATTGAGGATGATGTAGAATATTTCATATGAAGGGATCTGAATGAAAAGAAGAAGCCAGAGTTGAGTCCAAGGAAGGATAATAGTCCATTTGGGTTAGCTCGTTGGGGTGAGATATGTGAGAATTGAAAGCTAAAGTTGGACAGGTAGACCAGGGCAAGCTTCCTAAAGGTCTTGAATGCCAGGCCAAAGGAATTGCCTACAGGCAATGTGGAGCCACTGAGACTTCTTGAGCAGGGGAGGTACTTTAGAAGTATTAATCTGGCAATAGTGGGTAGGATGGGTTGAAGATAAGGAATAATAATTCTTGTTACAATAATTTAGGGAAATTTCCCACAAGGCCCAGTTTGTTCACTTATTTAATATTTCTTGAGCACCTACTATGGCACTGGCCTGTACTACACGCTGGGGATACAGTGTGAGCAAGACAAATATGGTCCCTATTACAGGTGGGGATCTCAGAAAACAGAATGTGAGATGGAGATTAGTGTGCAAGCAATTATTGAGATCAGCACCTGTAAGGGAGTGAGTAAAGCTTGAATGGGCAGAGGGAGGAGCTGAGCAGAGCTGACCCTATAGGAGTTCCAGAACTGGAATGGCTCCTTAGAATTGTTCCAAAATGAGTCATGGGGACTGGACCTTTATACCTTCACATCAGCCATATTGGACATGAGGTGCCCTCAAAAAGGGAGCGTGACCTTGGGCAAAGCAGCTACTTTGGGGCAAGGCAATTTCTGGCAGGGCCCCAATTCTGAGCTCTTGGCAGGTAACATTCCTGGTCGTTCCAGAGGGAGTATGTCCCTCAGTCCTGAAGAGTGAGTCCAGGTGGTACATCACAGAACCCAGGACAGTCTACCCTTTGTACCTCTTGGATCTCCTTGCTTCATATAATAAGTCTACCCCATCAGGGAACAGCTTTTCCAGCACTCTGATTGGTCTTTTCCCTGAAAATACTTAAAAGAGGCTGGCTAGTGGGGTAAACTAAAGTCCCTGTTATTGCTGCTGGTCTCACGGCTGCCACTGATGCCTAATATCTCCCTCTCCAGCTGCTTGTGTAGGTTCCTATTGCCTTTGGCCAGCACTTCTGCTGATCAAGATGGTTTACCTGGTGAGGTGTTCCAGACCACATGCCTGAGTCACTGTGCCCTTCCCAGGCCATAGCTGCTGCTTGTCCATTTAACACCAAAATTGGGCAATTACCAAGAGATGTCCAGGATATCACCTGGGTACCCCATTAGATAACAGTAGCCCTATTGCCTCCTGATGCTCAGGATCAATTCCTAAGACAGAATGCTGACTCTCTTTCTTGACACAAGGAACCCAAATTTACCAAGTGGCAGATGTTACATAGGGTCTAATGGGATTCTTGTTGGGGAAGCATGCCCTGGGGGAAGCGTGCCCTCTCTGGAACCAGGACCTCTAACTCCACAGGTGGGGCATTTACAAATTCCTCCTTCAACCCTTTGATTTCAGAGGATGTATTCCTTCTACATTGCACCATATGATGGACATTGACTTAAGGGTATATTTTGTCCTAGAAGACAGTATCCCATCCTCACAGAGCATCATCTCCAAGCCAATGCCTCCGTGGCATCTTCAAGAGTCAGTTCCATCCCCCATCAGGCCAGCATCTTCAAGGTACTATGAGTGGATTCCATGGTCATATACCACTAGGGCATCTCCTTTGATATGTATCAGCTCCCTCAGTCTCAAACACTGTAATGTGGGATTCTGTGTCAATGAGTTGAATACTTTGAAAGCTGGTGCTGGCTGGGACCCCGTAGGCAGGAAAGGCAAACCCATGCCCAGAATACGTGCCAGTTCCATCAAGATGAGTTACTGCTCCTTCCACAATGGAAGATGCCCAGTATCAATACTTTGCCACCATGTGACGTGGGACGACTCCATCCTGGGGGCTCTGCGTTGGTCTCTGTTGCTTGCAGAATGGCAGAATGTGCATGAGGATCTGGCCCAATTGCCTCTTGGGGGTTAACAGTTCACTGGTTGACTTCTTGAGCCTGTTGAGCCTGTTGAGTATCACAATTGGGGAAGAGTAAGAGAGGGAATCTAGAGGAGTAATGCTAACACTGCAGTAGTGTGACTTGGTCATGATTACCAGATTCAAATTCTGACTGTCAAAAAAAAAAAAATTCTGACTGTCCCTTAACAGCTGTGTGCCCTTAGGCAAGTCACTAAACCTTTCTACTTCTCAGTTCCTCCATCTCTAAAATGGGGATAATAGCATACCTACATCATGGGGTCAGTTAGAATATTACATGACAGCACATGTGAAATGCCTGGGACAGTGTCTGGCAGAGAGCACTCAGTGAATGTAAGCATGTGCATGGTCTGCCAAAGGCTGTGAAACTCAGGTGTCAGTGTGATGAATGTTGGATTCAGTGGGTTATTAGGGAAGGAATAAATGGGGACAGGAGATATAACCACATGGATTGAATATGAGAACAAATCCCCAGACTATTTCTGCCACTTAGAGGCTGGAAGGGCAGTGAGTGGCTCTCAGTTCCCTCCAGTCCTTCCTTCCCTATTCATTATTGACCCCTCCAGGGCTCTGCAGAGTAGACATCTGACATACACTCCTGGGCCTAGGATAGGCTTAAAAACCACCGGAGCTCAAGGCAAAGGCCATTAAGCCAAGCCTATAAATCTGGGCTGGCAGGGGCTTGTGGCCAATGTCCTCCAGGTCTGGACCAACTCCAGGAATTCCTACAGACAGCCACTGTCCCATTCATGAGCCATTCATTGACTAGGGACAGTCTTTCCCTAGTGGCTGGAAAGAAAGCACTCTCAGAAGTACACATTAAATTCCTTTCCCAGGGATACTCAGGTAGATGATGGCTGAACCCAGCCTCCAAATGGCTACTTGAATTTTCTTCCCATAAGGGAGAAGGGAAAGGAACTACGTATTTAGAATGTTCAGTGATCCTTGTTTGAAATGGTGAAATGAGAGAAAGAAGCAAGGTTTCCAGGACCTTGAGGGGGCTAGCTGTTGTTGGGAAAAGGTCACTTATTACTGTCTAATTAAACCTTAGTCATGAGACCCTTCAGATGTGTATTGGTGGGCCATGTGCTTGGGGGATGATTGCCAACACATATCTTGGGGGTTTAGAGATAAAGGGAAATTTCTAAAGGAATTTTTATATGTTAAAGTAGACTTACAGGATCCTGGG